GAGATTTAGTAGGAGTACACAGAGGCCTCTCTATGGGACCTTAATTAAACTAGTATCTTTGTAGTCTCCCCTCTCTGCCAGCCATTCTAGAAAAGCAATATTCTCTTTAGATAAGAAATGGCAGGTTTTAAAGATTTTTTTATGTGTTTATTGGGCAGGCGAGGCCAAAAATGAAAGGCTTATGAAGTAATAATTGTAAAGAAACCATCTCATAGCAATATACTGTTAATCAATTGTAATAGCAGGAAAGAATACATAATTAAAATACCATCTATATTTTTATTATAGTTATTGAGATACATTAACAAGCTGTATTTCTCAGACCTGTCTGTCTTCTATATGATTTTGATAATATATTTGATAAACCAGGTTTTTGTAGAGAAATTCCCTCACCTTGTATTGTACAAAAGACACTGGCTCTGGCTAATTTGTGTGTCAAAAAGGTGGCTTTAATATTGCCAGAAATCAGTCAAGTGGTTTATTCACTTTGTTGGAGTTGTTCAATGATGCTTTACTACTTGTTAAATTAAATATCGAGATCTCTTTCTAAATTGAGTCATACTCTATTTCATTTATTACCTTCATTTGTTGGATTTTCTGTCTGGCTTTTTTTTTTTTTTTAACCAGATCTGATCAGTAGGTGTAAAGTTGGAAAGTTATAATCATTGTCTCCTGTTTTGCAAACATAACATCCCAAAATATGTGTTTGACATAAAAATTATAACATTTGCTGTGATGATGTCTGACTAGAATTGGCATCTGCACTTTCTTTTCCCAGTTTTTAACCATGTTTGCCTTCATCTGTTCAGGACTCTGCCAGCTACAGTTGAACCCTGCAGAATCAATGCAGTTGAATTTTCTAAGCTTACAACTTAGAAGAAGACCTATTACCTAGCTTATGGGTTATTTTTTTTTAATTCACAAAGGAAAAAGATGAGACCCGATCAGAACAGCACCTATGAAAGATGCTCATGTGCGCCTGTATGATTTTCCGTTGTATATAGACCACATTTTGTTCATCTAAGCATCTATCAGTGAACATTTGGGTTGTTTCACCTTCTAGCTGTAAACAATGCTCTTTCCACACTGATGTACCAGTTATCTGCTTCAGGCCTTGCTTTCATTTCTTTTGGGTACATACCAAAGGAGTGGAAATGCTGGTCATATGGTAATCCTGTTTTCTTTTGGAAGGAATTTAAAATATCTTCTACAGAAGCCGCATAATTTTACACTCCCCTAGCAATGGGCCAGGATCTCAATTTCTTCACAGCCTTGCCAACATTGAGTACAGCGTGGTAGGATCTATTAGCATATAGAATATCCATTCAGTCCTTTGCCCATTTTTTAAAATGATTCTCTTTCTATTGAGTTGTTGAAGTTGTTATTGAGTCTAACTATAATTGATTTTTATGTAGTGATCTGTCTACTGATAAGTTGTTATCAGAGTATAATTTATGAGTAAGTTCTAAAATCAGATGTTCATGTAAGTTTTCCAATATTTTGTAATTTACAAATATTTGTCTCCTCACTCTTTTGAAGCACAAGTTTTTATTTTTAGTGAAGTCCAACTTAACTAAACTTTCCTTTGCTGTCTGTGCTTTTGGGGCCATATTTAAGACATTTTGCCATATGCAAGGTCATCAAGAATTGTCCCTGTTTTCTTCTATGTAAATGTCACAATTTTCACTCTCAGCTTTAGTTCTTTGGTCCACTTTGAATTAATCTTTGTAGATAATGTAGGGCAAGACCAGATTTCATCATGTGCATGTCAATATTGTTGGTCCTGTACCATGTACTGAGGAGACTACTTGTTTTCATTGTGTGGTGCTGCTCTCAACACTCAGTCATCCATGCGGGTTCAAGGCTCTCCATTTAATTCTAAAGGTCTGTGCATCTATCTTTATGTCCACATCATGCTGTTTTGATTATTGTGCTTGGCAGCAAGTTCTGAACACAAAAATAGGTGAGTTTTCTCATTTTGTGCTTTTTCAGGGTTGTATCAGCTACTCTGGGCCCCTTGAAATTTGATATGAAATTTAGTCTGAGTTTTCCATCTGTGCAAAAATGCTACTGCCATTTTGATAGGGATTGTGCTTAGTCTACACACTGCTTTAGGTAGTATTGTAATCTTATATCCTCTGATCCACAAACACAGGATGTCTTTTCATGTCAAAATATGAGCACCATTTTATACTTTTTAGTGTACAGGTATACCTCCTTGGTTCAATTGTTTCCTCAATATTTTATTCTTTTTGATATTAGTGTAAATGGAACCGCTTTAATTTTCCTATTTGGGTTTTTGCTAGTGTATACAGTGGATTTTATATGTAGATTTCATATCCTACTATTTTGCTAAATAGGATTGGAAGATGTTTCCTACTATACATACCTTTTCCAGAACCTTAGAAAGGAACTCTATTTGCAAAGAGGGTAGTAGGTCCCTATAGTGAGGTCACAATGGAGTGGGCCTTTAATCTAGTAGGAGTGGTGCCCTGACAAAAAAGTGACAGAGACACACATGGGAGTTCATGCAGTGATGACAAAGGTGGAGGCTGAAGTGGCCACAAGTGAAGGCAAAGAAAGGACTGCTGGCCACCCCCAGAAGTAGGGAAAAAGGGCAGAGATTTCCCCCTGAGTCTCATGGGGGTGGACAGCCTCACCTTGATGTGAGATGTCCAGCTTCCAGGCTGTGAGACATTAAATTCACGTAGTTTCTAGGCATCCGGTTGGCGGTATTTTCATTCCTAGGAAACTGGTTCTCACTTAAATCTGTGTAAGTTTTCTTTTTCTTGCCTAATTGTTCTGACTAGAGTTAACCCCAATCCTCCTCAAAATCCTGCAACAACTAAAAGGAAAGCACACTTATGTCAAACCCTACACTTACATCAAAACCAGCTATAGACACTATAAAAAAAGAAATCTACAAAAACACATCCCTGATGGATACCAAGGCAAAAAGCTTCCACAAAATGCTAGCTGAATCCAGTACCATGTCTAAAAGATTATATACCAAGGCATGTAAGAGAAGTTCAACATAAAAATTAATCAGTATAATATATGACATACACATGGAAGGCAGGGAAATAAATATTACCATCTCAAATGATGCACATAAGGCATCTGACAAAATTTGATACCCACTCATGAAAAAACATTCAAGAAACCAGGAAAAGAGAATTTCCTCAATACGACAAAAGCCAACGTGCTGCCCAAGCTGTCTGGCGACCAGGAGGAAGGCAGTGACCATGCTCCAGCCTCCTGAAGCCAGCACTGCTCAGTGGCTGCTAGGAGGAGCAGGAGCAGAGTGTGCGCCCTGTCCTCAGCCCACAGCACTCCTGCTCCGGAAGCACCCGCACCACGTGCATACATCAAACGGTGTTTAGTGGATGCACACCCACGCAAAGACTAGGCTCTGCACTGAGCTGTATACTCTTAAGTCATTATAGACTGAAATCCTCACAGTAATGCTGAGGTAGGTATTACTGATATTTACCCGTCTTATAAATGAATATTTAGAGGCTAAATATTTAGATTTAGAGGCTAAATAATTGGCCCAAATTAACATAGCTAGTAGGAAAGAGAACAGAGCCACTAAGGTAGGCCGAGCGAAAGGAATCTGCATGTGTAGTGCGCCTTGCACAGAGGGCCCCAAAAGACCCTCAGGCTGATTCGAGGATCTGAGGAGACCAATTACAAAGGTGTAGGTGCGGAGCTGGGGAACACGGGGACCTAGCAGTAAGACGGGAGTGGCAAGTGCAGCATCGCCTCCTCTCGGACCAAAGTAGAGACTGTGTGAACAGGTCTCCTGGACAGAAGCGTGGACTCTAGGTGGAGGGATACAGCAAACTTGAGGCAAGCTTTGAAGGTTCAAGGCAATAAATAACCCTCCACCCACAGCCTGGCAGAACTTCCCATTGGCTCAACAGTAGGAAGCTAGCTAGAGGCCACGGATGGGAAGTCGGCCATCAATGGCAGAACACAGGGCAGAGGAAACTGGGGTGGGCCTGGAAAGGGACGTTCGGCAAGGAGAAGAAACAGCTTAAAATTTAGATCCTTCCAATTTGCTGGGGTGGGGAAGTGTTGGTAGGTCACACAGATCTGAAGAATGGACAAAAAGATGATGGAGCAATCTAAGCAAATAAACACCTACAATTCTTTCTAGCCCCATACTGGGAAAAAGTGTTAAAGACACATCACTAAATAAATAAAAGTATCTCTGAAAATGATTTTTTTTGGACGGTGGACCGAGCGTATGGCCAACTTGGTGATTATGAAGTAAGTAGTCCACATTAAAGTGCTACCGTCCAGTGTCTGTCTTTCCCCTTCTGAGCTCTCCTCTGGGAAGCAGAGAGACTGCTTTGGTTGGAAATTGTGGAGGGGCGCTCGTGCCCTTTTCCCTTTGGGAAGGAGCAAACCACCTCTGCTTCTTCCTTTTCAGCAACAGCAGCTCCTCCCCTCTTATTAGAAAAAGGAGGCATTTGTCAACTACTCCTTTTGTTACAGAAAACTATAGCTTCCACCTGCTTTGTGTAAAAAATGAAGGTGACAATGTTGGACCTCTATATACTAGTCTTTGTCTTACGTTTCACCTTGCTTACAGCAGAACCAGGTGGAGGAAGGCCATTTTCTTGTTTCATGTAGTTTTTTAGCTGACAGTGGATGTCCTTCCTGAATTTTAGACCATTGCAAAGCTCTGGGAACATAGCAAACAAGTCCCCAAACCTGAAAAATGCCATCATGACCAACATTAACAGCTTTCAATCAAGGCCAAATTGAAGTTACCACTTGGAACTTCAGAAGTCAATTAAAAACCAGCAAAAGTGACAACTCAGGCTGTCACCTGATTTTCTAGGTTTACTATTCCCCTAGTGAGGAGTACTTGGAAGAAAACTTAGTATCTTTTATTAGGAAAGGTATTTGAGGTTTACTGGATTTGTGACCAACTCCTGCAGAAATAGAGACGCGTGTTTCTGGCAGACAACGGGGCGCTCCACACTCACCTCTGCCATGTGCTTTGCTACCAGGCCCACGATGACAATGACTTTGCCCCTAAAGCTCTGGAGCAGAGAACTGTAAGGGCCCTGCGTCAGCTCCCCTTCTGCTGTGAACGCCACGCTGAATGGGATATTGACGCTGCCTGAAATGTGGCCCCGGATAAAGCTGGGAAGGAAAGTTAGGGAAAACATTCTTGCGCAGACTTGAGTGTGTGCGAGAGACTGACAGAAGTGACTGGTCTCCAGTGAATGGACAGGCGGCTCCCGTGTTCACATGGACACTTGACCTAAATGAGGGAAATACAGCACCCTAAAGAACAGAAGCTTAAACATGAGAGAGGAACAGGAGAAATGAAAGCTAGCAAAGGTTGCAAGGAAGACTTCCCTCAGTGATCCACAAGGGGTGCCCAACAGGGCGGCCTGCAAGTCAGGGTATCTGAATGCTCAGAGTGACACAGCCAGCACTTACCCGCAGATCTGACGTGTGAAAAGGCCTGTTGCTCTGGGCAAACAACTGTTACTGGGATCCACCCCATGTAGGACCGTAAGAGGCCCGCACTCCTTGGAGACTCTGGTGCTGCTGGTTTACCTCTCAGGTAAACAGAGCTGGCATTTCTGGGCTTTTGATTTTACCCTTTCTGAAGCTGGTGATGTCTTACCTGGGTACTTCGGAAGCTTTCCAATGGTTTTATTGACTTTACTTTTAATTTACACACAAAAGGCATATACTAACTTAAAATATTTAGAAACATCTTACAATCTTAAAGGAAATATACATGTACCATTAAATGATTAAAATGTACAATTAAAGGTATGGGAAATGAAAAAATAAAAAACAAAGAAAAAGAAAGAAGATCCTTCCTCTAGAATCTACAGGAGACATTCAAGTAATATTATTAGCCAAATAACTTTAACTATGTATACGATAGCAACAATGAAAATTGCTCTGCCAGAAATATGTATAGAAATCTGTGGGGAATTTTTCACTGAGAAAGTGACGGCCAGGGTGAAATTTGAAGAGTTAATAAAAGTTAAGTGAGGCAAAGGGATGGGGTGGTGAAGACAAACATTTCAGTAGAAATGTTAGGCCTTTAGTGGAGAGGTAGGTGGTCAATGAGGGAGAAGAAAGGCCATGCGAGTGCCAGGGAGGGAGGAGGTCTGCAGGTCAAGTGGGAGGCCTGTTATCACAGAGCCAGGAGTATCAGAAAGCGCCTAATTAGGCAATTGATATATTTGCACTTTGGGAACAAGGGCTCGGAGAAAGGCATGGAGACTAGTTGAGAGGACATCTCTGCAATCTCTCCCCTTCCTCAGCAGTCATCAATGGTGGCCATGTAGGGAAGTTTTGGCTTAAAAGGGGCATTTCCCCCTGAAAACTACTGCTTTAGATAAGTTCTTTCAGTAATGGAAAATTGATAGAAGTTTAAAGAGTTATGTCACAGTCAACTAATGTATTTCGGGAGGGAAAATTATAATTCTTTACTATTATGAAAAGTTCTCAATTGTCCCAAATTATAGGCTCATTTTTTAAAATACTACTTTTCTGTCTGCCTCATTAAAGAGCATCAGAGAAATTTGAAGTTTCTACACTTCAAGGATGATGACAGGCAACACATCTTACATTAGAAATTTTCGATGAAGTCTTGCTTCATTAAATATCTCTTTCTTTAAATAAAAGCATCTGACAATATAATAATGCCAAATAATAATGAAAACTTCTGAAAAGTGAAGGCAGAATAAAAGCTAACAATGAAGGTTGCTAGTAACAGTCTTTCAGACTGGACACAAAGTTTATGATCATAGGTGGAGTTCGGAGTTTGAGTATGCCCTTCTTAAACACTCACAATGAATGGTTCAGAATTCTCAATTACCCTAAGAGCACTTTAGTTTTCAGTAAACACATACCTGATGATGAATCTTTTTGAGACCACAAGCTAAACTCTACCAATTTAAATGTTCTCAGACTGCCTCTGTCAGTCTGAATGAGCTGCCAGAGTGAATTTCTGTATTTATCAAACAGCCTGTATCAACTGGGAACATATTCTCTTTTTAGTGCTTTCATAGCATCAAAAGCAGCACAAAGTTGCCCTGCCAAATGCTTGTGTTGCAGGCCCACCCCCACACTGCTGCCTCAAAGGCCCTCACACTGGCGGGTGATGAGAGGGGCCCTCAGTTGCTCTGTATCAGATGACACGCCTCAACCTTGACGAACAGGATGGTGGCCGGGGGCAGAACGTGGGTTTCTGATGCAAGCTGAGGATCAACAGATACTATCAGACTGAAAGATACAAGGACAACGCCAGCCTGTCATTTACCACAATGCCCACTTTACACTACGAAGTCTCATTTGAGTCCTCTGAGACCTCGGAAGTCACGGGACCACTGCCTGAATGGTCAGTATGGATCACTTGTCTGTTGCTGACTGTTTCGTGACTTTTTAGAGGATACAGGAAGTTGTAGGGTTGTGTGGCTCTCAGCTGTCCTTTCCCACATGGAGATATATTTTGGGTACTTTCAGAAGCCCAAGCTGGTGCCGGGACTGCAGAGATTTAAAAGAGCCCGACCCCTGTCTTACTTCCCTCACCCCTAGATTCCTTCCTTGTCACTGTTTTCTGTTTGCACCACTTAATAAGTATTAGACACAAAATGTGCCACATGGCACTTTATACTGTCTGTACTGTTCAGTTATTTTTCACATAAAATATCTTAATATTTTCAATATTTTATATTGTTCTGTTTTCCTGCAGTTTACTTCTCCTGCAGAAAGTAAAGGAGAATATCAATGAAAACAGACCATGAGATCTGGAAACACTTGGATTTACTGTCACTTTGAAATTGTATACATATTTAAATTTAAAATATTTATGTAAACTATTTGGAAGGAAGTATCAGAACAGTGGTATGTTCATGCACTATTTTAGCAGTCAACTTTAAAATTAAAATAGGGTCTTAGACTGCTGTACTTTTTTGGGTGGTTTTATGAGAGACTATGTTAATGGTTCCACCAAAAAAGTAACTGAATGCTAAGCAAAAGAGCTCAGAAGAAGAAAGACAAATACTGGACAGTCTCACTTATAATGTGGAATACAGAGAAACAAGACAAAGAGCCAGACAAAACCAAATGCATAACAAGTCCTTGACAGTTGACTGCAAAGCAGAAGGGGAGGGCAGGTAGGAATGGGGCGGGAGGGGCCTAGGGACTATGGCGGGCAGGGTGTGAAAGGAGGCAGTTGTGCAGGTTGAAACCTGTAACCACCAAGACAAATGCCATGCTGCAGATCAACTTTCCTTCCAGAAACATAACTGGAGGTGGAGGAAAAAAGAACTAAACCAAGAAACGAAAAAAGTTTCAAGTATTTTAAACTTGAAGTAACAGATTTAAAACAACAACACAAACTTCTAGAGCACTGGTGCCAGTAACCTGGAAAGCTGCTTTGGGAAGTCCACTCACCTACTGTGCCAAGGAACTTGTGGTACCCCTGACAGCCAAACAACCAGAGGTAGGACCAGTCATATTCCCTCTAGACTTGGGGGTACAGTTTAGAGAAAAATACAAGGCAGTAACTTTTTACCAAAATATGAGGATATAAAATTTAGATAACTGCAGGGGTGCTATAAACATTTAAAAACCACATCTCCGTTTGGTTGAAAATGTGCCTGTGAAAACTTACCCTATGCTAGATATAGCTTATAAGAGACCTTAATACATTATTATAGTTAGTAAAATGTGTGAATTTATGAATAAAATTATCTAGGTTAAAATCTATTTATAGTTTATATAATGAATTTTGAAGAGAGATTTTATTTTACAAGGGAGTTATTCTGTTAAAGACTAGAATCATTTACCTAGAGTAGAGAGAGTCAGGTATGTTCGCTGGGCATTTTATGCATGTTGAAAAAGTAAGGGGGAAGATCAAGCTATATTTTGTAACTGTTCATATGTCGATGCCAAGAAAAAAAACTATCAGAACTTATGGGATATTTAATAGTAAAAGGACAGTGAAAAATATTTTGTAAGTTCTGTTCTCTATAAGTCAGTAATCTAAAAATTGAAATAAGTGCAGTTCATAGTTAGGATTTGGCAAGCTCTTCCTCTGGTCTGTGAGGAAAACCAAGTGTATAATTAGTTGTGGTCTTGGCCCAGACTTTATCTGCACAGGAAGGATCAAATGCCCTCAAGAACAGCAATATACACCAGAGCAACACAAAAACCAAGAAAATGATATGAAATTCGGATGTTTGGAAAACATTAAGGCCTCTGGTATGTACTGGTATATCAGAAAACAGTACACAGGAGCACTCTGGCATCCAGCGTGAGAGCTACTGAATTCCCAGGGACCCTGGGTATGTTTACCGTCACCACAGGCCCTTCCACAGCGAGGAAGCAAGCAGAGGGACAAAAGCGCCCCCCAGACACCGAGCTGCGAAGGATACTCCTCACTGTTGCGGATGTCCACCACCAGCAGCTTCGGCTTGCTGGACTTGGTCTTCTTGGCAGGTGTTTTGAAGTGGCCCGTCACTGAGAGCTCGCACAGGTCAATCAGGTCCTCTGCTGAAATCCGGGGTGATACTTCGGACTTGAGGTCATTTAATGGGATGGATTCTCTTGGCTGAAAATAATGTACAAGCAACACAAATGCTGAGAATACGACAGAGAAGGCCGAGAGGCGGGGTGGGGTAGCTTCAGGGAAGACGGGAGAAAAGGCAACCCCGCCGCCCAGCAGTCTGCTGGGACGCGAAGTCCTTCTTCCTGGGCGTTACTCTCTCACAGGTCACCAGAAGGAAGCACTGCCCTCCCATGTTAAGCTCCAAGCTCAAATGTGGTAGTGTCTATGCAGACGTCTTAGAAGAACACCGTGAATCTTTAAAAACAGCTCCTTAGGGCACATTTCACTCCTGTTCTTTAAGGGTAATTACTCTTGTGAATCGCTTTAATTACAATGCTGGTAAGATGAGAAATTGATTTGTGACTGGGTATACATACCAATTAAAGAACCTGGTTCTGAAACAAGCATGGGGCTCTCAGAAGTTATGGTACAGATGCATGGTGAAGTAGAAATTAGATTCTCAGAAATGAATGAAGAGCAATATAGTACCTCTTTAACAGGAAGCCAAATTGACAATGTATCAACTTTAAAGACTAAAATCAAACTCCAAACAATCACATCAGTGCATTGGCCTATATGGCCGATACATGATTGTAACATTGGTTCAGACTGAGCCTGGACACAGTTTCTTTTCACTCTCCCAAGGAGAATTCAATACTGTTCAATTCAACAAATTTATTTAGCAGTCTTCCTTAGCCGCTGCTGTTGAAAACCTGTGTAGTGTAACTTGAGAATCTGAGACCTCTTAAAATTCATTTGATTGCAAACTGGCAGATTCAAAAGAAACATGTCACTTATATCTTTAATAATGTTTCAAAATTGATTCTAATTATTACCTCATTTACTCACATAATTCCATGGTGCAACTGTGCACAGAATTTCTAATTTAGAATTTCTAGACTGGAGAGAATAAAGTGTATGTATCACTTATCTGAGAGACTTAATTCTAAAAACAATTGTTTTCTATTTTTTGATTTCACAATAAATGCTATTTACAAAGCTCTAGTATATTAACATTTTGCTTCATTCAACTGGAGCATGAATGTCAGCTCTCATCTCTGGGTTTCCCTGTGCCCTAAATTCTTTAGCAGTAAAGCACTGTTCTCTCACTTCATTAGCTTTTAAATAGAAATGGAAATCACTAAGCTTTATGGATTTATGGTTCTTAATAAAAAAAAATAGGCATTAGGAATTTTAATTTTCTACTATTAGGAATTAAAGCTACTTAAACATTCTGAAATGAAAAGGGCTGCAGGAAGATTAGAGAGCTTCAGAACCAGCCAGCCATACAATCAGTGCCCATCTCCTTTTCACTAGATTGCAATCTCTGCAGGCATTCTTCTCAGCTTCCACATGAGCTGCACATTTATGAAGATAAAATAAAGAACTTGTGATTACTTCTGCTTTCCACCCTTCTGTGATGAAAGAGCATTCCAAGCAGAGGTTTCTCTGAATGACAGGTGTGCCTACCTCATGGAGAAGACTTGACCTTGGCATAGGCCCCAACCAAATGCATCAAATATGAGGCACTTTTCAGAGGAAACAGCAATCGCTAGGTGAAATGGTAAGAACAGGGAGAGAGGAGCCACTCACATATCCACAACTTTCTGAACTTTTGTGATCGTGTGTCAGTAAAGACTTTAGTGGCATGCATGCCAGTTCTTCTGCAAATCAATTTTAAGAGATTAGTAAGTTATTACTTTAATGAAATTAAGTATAACAGAAAATACAGAATCTAGTTTTTCCTTTATGAAATTGTTTTATATGTGATTATCATTCATTGTCTAATTGCCACAGAGAGGTATAACAATATATCTCCCTCAGTACAACTTTTGTTGCACTTATCACTGACACTAGCATTTTCCTGTGTGACCTAAGTTACAAATTCAAGGAATAGACAAAAATTTAGGACAACTACAGGAAAGCTCTGGAAATGTCTAGAAATTTACTGGTTTTGCTGCAGAACTGGTGTAGAAAATGCATATTAAATAAGCTTTGCTGTTTAAATTCAGAAATCGATTTGTCTGAGAACTACTTTACAAAATGTTTTGTTTTCGATTGCCTAGCATTTGTGGTAAAGATCACCTTTAACATACTGCGGCCCTCTGAGATGGCTAGCTGGAAGGATTAATCACGTGAGTGTGCACCAGGCAGGAACAATCTAAACCTGGTCATAAGTCAGGCATTTTGCTGAGCTGGCCCGGTCCTGGGAACACAGCTCTGCACCATGCTTGCGCCAGGGGCTCCTGCATAGTCTCCTGCTGTACGTGGGGCTGTGACCAGAAGGCTTTCACTGTGCACGCTCTGATTTCTTGGAGAACCACCACGGCCGTTGGGCTGTGAGAACACAGGGCTGGCATCTAGAACACTCTTCCCATATTCTTTTGTCATGAATTCTGGCACTAATTCCACCTTGTTAGCCAAGACAGAAATCTGGAGGTCACTATCGACTCTTCATTCCTCCTTATTCCCCATTTCCATCTAACCTACACCATCTCACCAAATAACACCAAGATGTCTCCTGAAGGAATTTCCTGATTCATGGCTGTCTCAGCTCTGTCTTGTTCATGATGTAGGGAAGCTGGGGTCTTCCATACTACCCTGTTTTTCTCTGCTCATACTTAATCTAAGGTCATCCATTCTAATCCACCTTACATATGTCATCTGAGTTTAAAATAAACTCTGATGATCTAACTTTTATAATTGAAAACATCCAATGGCACTAGACATTGATAGCACGAAATCCCAATGCCCTTTTAGTTACGACTCATCTTTCTTTTCTTCGAGACGAAAAACTGAAGGTGACATTTGCTGCCATCTTGTAAGAGTTAAGTGAATATAATGAAAACACCACACAGAAGTAAAAACAAACCAACCTTAGGAAGCCTGGCAAGTTAATTTTGTAATAATGATAAATATACTAATGAAGGAAAATAGACAATACTATAGAGTTGATATTTTGGGGGGAAATCAACAAAACAAAACCTCTATATAAACTCTAGGTCTACATGATTAAAAAGAGTCAATACATTTTTAAAAATTATATAAATAGCCATTTATACTGAGATGGTGAAAGTCATCACACTCACACTCACTGAATCCCACATCTACCAACTGTGCACTACCACTACTGCAGCCTTTCTGTAGAGCTGTGCCAGAATGCTTTCTCTTGAAATACCCAGGAATGTCACAGACACATGAAATGACACTTGGGAACTTTGAAGCTGCAGAAGGAGATCTCAGTAAGACCCCAGATAGCTATTCTAAGTTGGTGCCCATCACTCTTCATGAAGAAACCATGATAGTGATGGAAAAATACTGCTACAGGAGCTCTATCAAATGAATACAGAATTAAAGCAGGTTGCAAAGGAACAAACCACCCCAGGTAATTCTGGCAACTGGTGGAGATGCTGACCCTGAGCCAGGAGAGCCCGGGTTCCTGTGGTGGCTTGGGTGGGTGCAATGGTGGGTGGCGGCCAGTCTTGAGCAGGATACTCTACCTATAGCCTGGCAACTGTGCTTTTCACCACACGTGGCCAGAATTCAGACTCACTTTCTCCCTTGTGTTTATCAGCAAGACTGACATCCTTAAAACCCCCCTCTAATGAACCCTCCACCTTAGCCTCTCTCTTCTTCTCCAAAGTCCCTCTTTTCTGCCATTGTGCTCCATACAGCACACTCCAGAAATCATGCAGTGCCAGTCATTCTGGACTTTCCTCTGGCTGTGGGCTTTTCTCTGCCCTCGTTTCACTCGTTGCACCTACAGGTCACCGCTGCATACAGAAGAGATGGTGTGCTCTGAAATCTGTGCCTTCAGGAAAGTGGCATTTACTGGTCTTTCATGTTAGGATGAAAGACCAAGGATTTCCATAACTCAGAAACCATGAGTGCAACTCTGAAATCTGATTTATCAGGGAAACTTCACAAAAAGGAGAACAGTAAATGCTAAAGAATATAGTGACAAGATACATAATGTGGAGATTTTTCCAGCCTCACACTGTTGCAGCAAAAACAATTAAAATTTTTAAATGGATGAGAAAAACATGACGGGTCGTGAGAAAAAGCAATGATAGACATGCATGACTAATGAACAGCTTCATGACCTGGAAATGAAGCATTTTCCTTCAGTCCTTTGTAACATTTATTTATTTATACAGTTTGATTCTGCAGCGGATTTTTGCTTCAGCATATTCTTTGCTTCAGCATCCCTTCCTAATGCATTATTTCCATGTGCCAAAAGAGTTTTCTGGTGTGCTGAATTAAATTACACCCAAAATTTGGAACTGATATGCTGTGGGAAAGGAAGTTTATATAGAATGATAATGATCTTGCTTACACAGCACTTGAAGGACCTGTTTTAAGTAACAACCAAGACTGGAGAATGAACTGTGCGGTGGTATTGGGACAGAAAGGGGCACTGGTGACTTTCTCCCTTCGTCTGAACCACATGTCTGTTCTCTGTGACCTTGCTCGTGAACTGTGTACTCTGGTCGGCAGGGCGCTTAGGGAAGACTCAGGCCCCTCTGCTGCCACTGGAGGACAGGGGTGCCTCCCTGAGGAGCTAAGGTAGCCCACGGAGGCAGGTGCTCATCAGTGCCTGACGAGTGAGAGAAGCTGTCAAAATTCTTTCTAAAAAGAAAGGAAAAGTAAAACTGAACAAGTTTTTTAAAAAACTGTCTTTCTCTTGGGTTTCCTTAATCTCTATCACCATTTCCTCCACTTCTTCACAGAGCTTCTCTTGAGGCAAAACTGCTGACATTTTTTTTAATTGTATTATTTTTTTAAAGATTTATTTATTTGTGCATATGGAACTGGGGTACAGGCCAGAGGCTCAGGGGCAGTGAGATGATTCACCAGAGACAGAGTGGGGAGCAGAACAGGCAGACTGACAAAGTACACTGCTGAGGGGAGCAGTGGGCGGGTCAGGAGAGGTCTGCCACGCCATGTGGTCACCTCCGGGGCAGGCGGGGATCGAACTCATGGGGAAGTGGCTTTAGCTTCTCAGTGCTGTGCTTTAAACTGCTGCGCCACCAGGGAGGGCCAAAACTGCTGACATTTTTAAGCTTGAGGAAGGAGAGGCTGGTTACTCTCAGCTCCTGCTGCCACCACACTGCACATAGCCACACCGATGCTCACACACACTGGCACCCATACCTGTGGCTACACTTGGCCTGCTGCAGGCGTTCTGAGTTAGCTTTTACTGATTTCAATAGACAACAAAAAGTCTTGAAGTTTAGGAGAGAACAAAGATTTCTGGGGCTGAATTTCCCACTAATTTATTTTTCCCTTGAAAATGCCAGTGTTGCAAATCATTCTATTGATTAAGACTTGATTCCTCCTTTGTAAAGTGTTGAAGGATGATTAGAGAGCACGTGAGATCAGGACTCAAAGAGACATCTGGCACATTTGTCAGGGGAAGAAAGAAGAAAAAGTACAGTGAGGCCGAGAATAAGGCAGGTGTTCTCAAGGGTAAGATTGGAACATTACGGTAATAGGATAATTCAGTCATGTGAATACAAATTGTATTGTACAATGGTGATCTTCTCTATTTTCAGTCTACATGTAATTGAGACGATAACGTGATATTCTTGTAATCACTCTTTTCAGGATGCGGGATGCTTATAACAAAGAATTAAGAATTTGTCCAGGAATTCTAGTGCAGCTCTGGCTATGAATAGCTGAGTAATCTGATATCCTCATGACTATGAGAAACAGATTAAAAAATAGTGACAGACTAATATAAATTACAGAGGTTAATTATGTAAAGAAAATAATCAGCTACATTATATTGATCTTCCACTGAAACTATACCTACTATAATTGTTCCATAACTGCAGACTGATTACAGAGAGGTCATTAATAATGGCAGTAAACACAACAGATGCAAAACTAAACATCTTGCAATTTGCTACTTTAAATAATTTCATCAGGCACTGTTTAGTTCATCTTCAGAGGCACATTCTATTCTCAACATAATTTGTGGATAAAAAAGGTCACATAACTATACCTTTCTTTTTCCTTTATTAGAAAAACATTTTAATTTATTGGTTTGCAAATATGTATGTAAACACATGCACTAGGGAAACAGAAGAAAACTGCAAAAACCTTGCAAAGCTATATGGAGTAGATATTGGTTAATACATATGCTCCAATGACTAAGACAGTGTTTATATTCCTGGCAAAAATGGCAATTTTCAAGTTAACTGGTATTATGTAATAGATTTCTGAGATTCCTTAACTCTAATAAAAGGATAAAAATACTTGTAGCAGAGATGGGTTCAGAGGCAATGTAATGTAGCTGAGTACCTAGAAACTAAAATGTACTATGGTATTAACTTGTTTAAACTATAAAAAGCAGTGTTGTTACTGAGATGAAAGATTTATAGGCTGCATTTACATTTAACTTTTAAAAGTATAAAAATGTATTTAAAAAATTTAATCTGTATTAAACTCATTTAATCCATATTTAAGGCATACTCTGTAAATTGAGAATTCAATAAATATTTACTTACTTATGACAATACTTAAAATAGTTAACATGATAGAAATAAAAATTTGATTTCATAAAATATACGTGTTCATCGGCCCTCCCTGGTGGCGCAGCGGGTTAAAGCACTGCACAAAGAAGCTTAAGCCGCTTCTGCATGAGTTCGATTCCCGCCTGCCCCAGAGGTGACCACAGGGCGCGGCAGACCTCTCCTGACCCGCCCGCTGCTCCCCTCAGCAGTGTACTTCGTCCATCTGCCTGTTCTGCTCCCCACTCTGTCTCTGGTGAATCCTCTCACCCTCCGCATCTCTGGCCTGTACCCCAGTTCTGTATGAATAAATAAATAAATCTTTTAAAAATATATACGTGTTCATAATCAAGGACATGAAAACTATTGTGTATTCGCAGTTGCATGCATCTAAGTTATACCAGTGTCAGTAGATAAACATGGTCATCAAAGCTTAATAAAGAAATTCATTGTTGACCACACTCTGTTTCCAAAACACATTCACTTAAAAAAAATCCATTTTGGGCCTTCCCTGGTCACGTAGCCGGTTACAGCACAGTACTAAGAAGCTAAAGCCAGTTCAGCACGAGTTTGATCCCTGCCTGCTTCGGAGGTGACCACATGGTGCAGCAGACCTCCCCTGACCCACCTGCTGCTTCCCTCAGTAGTGCTTCATCAGCTGGCCTGTTCTGCACCCCACTCTGTCTCTCACTGCCCCTGCACCTCTGGCGTGTACCCCAGTCCTTTATGCATAAATTTTTTAGAAAATCCATTTTATTCTATTCATCCGTTATATACCTTTAATTTATCTGTTTTTTCCTTCAAAAAATAAGTTGTGGTCAGAACTCTGAAGCAGTCTTAGCTATTTAAGGAAAAGTAGATGAGAAAGATATTGGCACTAGATGAAATAACTCTTTTGGCAATTCTTTAGTAGTTTCAGGATGAAAATAGTATTAAAACCAAGAAGTAAAGGTCAAAGTGAAATCTTAAACTGAAATTACTGAGGTGAAACTGCCAGAAAGATTCCTTCGTTGGGGAGCTAGCCTCCCTATTCTTTCCTTCCGTTCCTGTGTGTAGGGAGAGAAACACAGCTAACACACAGCAGCTGGGCAAGCAGGATCCCAGACACTGACAAAGGACCGCTAGTAAAGATCTCTACAGAACTCATGCAACCCAACAAAAAGAAGACAACACAATGAAAAAATCAGCAGGAGAATTATAAACAGACATTTCCCAAAGAAGACCAACGGACACATGAAAACGCTCACCATCACTGCTTATCAGAAAAATGCAAACCTAGGCCAGAAGGAGACATCACCTGACACGTAGGTGTGTGGCCCACGTTGAAAAGAACAGAAACAGCACTGGTGAGGTGGGGAGAGTGGGGCAGCTGTACTGCTGGTGGGATTTAGGCTGGTCAGGCCTTATGGGAAGCAGCACAGTGGTTTCTCAATAATATATATAAGTATGAGTAGATAGCTGATTTCCTCTATCAGCTACATTTTTAAAGGCACTGACTGTAATTATTAAAATTGTGCTCAACTACTATTAAGTTTACAAGTGTTTTTAGTAAATACAACTTGATCATATCTAACTGCAAAATCTACTTTTAACATACATGAAATAAAGCTGGAAAATGTTTTATCATTCAAATGTTACTTTTTACAACTTAGAGCCTAGTCTATAATTTATCAGAATACAACAAAATACTAAGCACATACTAAGTGAAATTCAGCTTCATGGAAATACTGTGTTATGCTAATATTAGAAAATTTGAAATATATGAATTATAGTTGAAAGGTTAGTAAGCCATTTATAGAAAGCCATAAGTTCAAAAATAATGACACTATTGAAAAACCTGAATGGCATCGCTTTTCAAAATTCTGTTTCATTCATCAATTTACAATCAAGAACTGCACATTCTTATTCTGTCAACAACACTCAGTCTTTATTTTTATAATTTCCCCTTTTCCCATCATTCTCTTCACATATAAAAGTGGTTACACAGTCTGATGTTGAGCGCCAACTTGCTCCCTTGAGGAATATATAAAAACAATCTTCTTTATTATAGTCAAATACATCTATTTACTGAAATAGTGCATTAATATAGTAATGTACTAGTAAATGGCTATGTTAAAAAGTGGTATGATAAGCAATGTTATGACATATGAATTTTAACACCCATCTTCCTTTTGAGTCTATAAATTAAAACTGCAAATACATACCAGGTCTGTCTTTGGAAGATCTGGACACTCGGCGGAGAAATGAGCTGAGCTTCTGCGTCCGCTGCTGTCAGAGGGTGGCTTTGGAGGCTGGGCATGCTGTCTGAAAGTAGCGCTTTTAGGTGTCCAGCAAAACAGGTTGATGGATTCTCGCACACAGCGTTCGATGTCAATTTCTAGACAGAATAGTATAAAAATCACAGGGAAATGGAATTGCCCTTAAAATCCTTTGTGCTACACCTACATATAGCTTCTTGAGTTAAATGAGGAAGTTTTAAATTATGCTTCACACAGGGGGAGATTAAAATTACAAACATTTGATTCAAATCTTGAAATAAACATTTTCATATTTTCCTTCCCTTTCTCAAATTTGAAATTTAAGTACCTGTGATACAGCGTAATATACATAGGAAGGTTATTACAACTCCAAATTATTGTGTGTGTTTTATTGGACTGTAGATCTTTAGGATTGCAACATTCCCCCTTGAGGGTAAGCAGCTCCAGTGTGGCGAATGTGGAGAGACTAAGAGAGGCAGTAGAAATACAAACTGTTGCCTAGGAGGAAGCAGTTGAGCACAGAATACTTTTTCTCTTCCCATAGTCCTAAGATTAGTAAATGGCAGATATTCTCATTTCCTCTATAGAAGCCCCAGTGTGTCAGCTCAGAGATACAAAGGAGAATAGTATGTTATACACTATAAATAAAAAGGGGATAAAATTCCCCTTTCCTTTTTAAATGAGGCGCCTATATCTAAGGAAAAGGAAACAGTGGAGTTAGAGCTGTCTGCTTTTGAAAGGTAGAAATCCCTCAGAAAAGGGACGGGAAGTGGATAGTTAACGAGCATCTATTATGTGATAGGCACGGTGTACTTTCAATTAGCCCCATTAATTCTTACAATGATTCTTGCAGATAGATTTTGTAACTAAGACATAAGGGAGCTACATGACTTAATATGTTATGTGTGCTCTTTGGAGTCTCTGAAATTTCTAAAAGGTTATATGGCATCTTTCATTACACAATTCACTTAGGTTTGGGATAAGGCCAGCAGGTCTAGAAAGTTACTCAAATAAGCATTCTTTTATCTGCTTTTAGTGATGTTTGTCAGTTTCACAGCTGGCTATTTCCATGGCTACACAGAGGGGTCAGATTTCATCACTCCCTATTCCATTCCCAACATTAAAGTTGATGAAACAGAGTTAAAGTTTTGAGATGTAGGTCTATTTACCTAAGCAATGGTCAGTACAGTGGAATATGTTTTTTAAAAAGCTCTAGGACATTTTAAGCTTAGTATTTCATACATGCATGAACACAAACCAACAGAAGAATGAAGTCTAAGGTAAGCTCTTTTATTCTGCTTCAGAAGGAAGAGATATTTTCAATTTGTTTTAGAAAATATCAAATTAACAGTTAAGACAAACACTTTCTGTTAAAGAGGGAAAAACTCTGTCTTCCTAAAAAAGCTTATCCACTTAACACTGTTTAATTCCCCAAAGAAAAGAATTTTGAGCCATTGGTTTTACAGCTGGAGTGTTCAAATTGGTCTGACACTGTCATCCAGGAGAGGCTTGAAGTCAAGTCAATGACCCAGATCAGAGGTGGTAGTCGAGTCCTTTAATCACTATATCTGCTTCCAAAATAACCCACTGATACCATAAAAGGCTGACAATGATCTGAGAATTTTCTGGCATCCACCCCCTCAACCCTGAAATTACTGGCAGATTTCCCGTTCTCCATTCACTTGACCCGTGTCACCTCTGCATCTCAAAATCCCTCCTAAATCATAACCAAATCCCTTCATCATAACCAAAATATTATGCAAAAGTGTTTCACAAACTGTATGTTAAAATATGTAATACTTCTAATTTATCATCCTAGGGCCTAGCTGTCTTCTAGCTTGCATGATAATTTTGATATATAAAGTTTTGTAAATAAAGCATGTACCCTGGATTATGGTTTACCAGGTTGACTCCAGGCTCTATGTGGGACTTTGTGATTCCTAGAGAAAATTTTTTTCTAAATCTTGGTTTCCTTATTCACATCCATTACTATCATAACTCCAAGAAATACTTAATTATTTCAAAATGCTCACACACATGTAAACGTTCCGTTTAGCTGACCAAAGGTGGAAAGACCATCTCTCACAAAGGTCCTGGTATTTCTGAGGCAGGTGTGCAGTAAGTAGTGGGAGGAAATAAGTGGTTTTGTTTATCTCTGCCGTAACCACAGACATGGCTGGCTTAAACCGAAGACAAGATGCTGGGATAATATTTTATCTTTAAGACAGGTTAAAGTTCTTTAAAAGTCAATTTTTTATTCATTGTTCTCTGAGGAAGGGCTGACACAGGTGGAGAGTAGAGAACTGGCCAGCATTTTACCTGAGGGTTTGCTCTCACAGCAGGATTTGTCCCGATGCTACCTGAACTTGAGCTTCCTAGGTAGTCAGATCTGAACTGCCGAAGCTACCAGGATGAACCATTTGGAACCAAGACATGTAATTGTTTCATCTACAAAAAACCTGCTTTTCTAAACAAATAACAAAAAAAATCAGTATTTGGACTCCAATGCCAGTTACTCACATTAAATCATGAGCAATCCAAACTCACTTCGTCTCAGTTATTTCAAGAACAAAATGTAAACAATAAAGAATTCTTCATATTACCAGGTAAGAGAGAAACACCCTATGAGTACCAGCATAATAGATGCTGAGAAAAGGTGACAAAGTTCAGTATCTATTCTTCACAGAAACACAGTAAACTAGGTAAAGAAGGAAATGTCCTTATTCTGGTAGATGTGGCATCACATGCTAATTGTGCAGTTACACAGGGTCTTTTTTGACACTATTAAAAACTTTAGAACATTTGAATAATGTCACTGACTTCCAAAGCCATAAGATCTGAAATCAATAATCTACCCTACCCAACAAACACTATATTTTTTTGACATAAAGACTTATTTACAAAAAGAGTATGAGAAATATTCTAGGCATTGATTCTACTGATCTATTTATTCTAGTCACTGTTCTAGCATCATAAAAAATAAGTCCAAAAATAATACAAAGGAATTCTCACTGCTGAATAGAGAAAAAACTATAAAGTTGTTTATTTTACTAACAGAAAAACAGGTACATGGGTAAAATATGAGTATTGAGCAGCACTCTCTACAAGGCAAACTGTAAGGATGTCGCTGGGCCCTCTAGCACCACTGAATGTGTGGGGTATAGCATATCAGGGGGCAGACAAGCACAGGGCCAAGGACTTCCAGAGATACACCCGATATGCTTGATACAAATCTAATCATGTCATTTTTCTGTTTAAGATTTCCAACTGCACATAATGTACCTAGTATGGTGTGCGGGGGCTCGCAATTGGGAGTCTCTCTACCACACCACTTGTCGCTGTCAACAGCGCCACTGCCTCAGCCAGTCTAGTCCAGGGCCCTCACTCTATCACTTCCTCCAGACAGAAAGATGGCCCAGGCCATGCAGTTTCCTCCTCTGCTCACCCTCTGCCACTTCCTGGGCTTTCCTTTCATCCCTACAGTGCTGGTACGTGATCTCCAGTCTCATCTTTATCTCCAAGGCCCCTGTGCCCAGAACTTTTCCTATAATGCTGTTGATTAAACATGTGCTGAATGAAAAAACTCCCTTACTTTCAGGACTTAGTAAAAGTGGCCAATGTTTCCTTATAAGCAGGTGCTTCATGGCTCAAGCACTAAAGCAAAGTTGGTGACTCTCATTGATGGTTGGTATTCTTGGATGGTTTGTCCTTGTTAAGTACTGCTTTTCACATTCCTAGTTCCAGGCAAGTTTTTAGAATTACAAAAAGCTTCTTTTGTTTCCATCAGGGAGAAGGGAAAATATACCCAGAGAATTCTGTTCTCCTTAACAAGGACTGTGCTTAGGGGAACTACTTTACCAGCTTCCAAAACTGAAGAAGGGATCTGAGGAAAGGGAACTCAAGACCAGTGATCTCCAAACTTCAGTGTGGGGGCCTTCTCAAGGTTCGCTGTCTCACCCTACAGGGACGTGCACTAAGGAGCCAAGTGAAGGCCGCAGTCCAGGGACACAGCCTCAATACAGGAATGAGCTGTGCTCATAGGAATGCAGCACATATTCCCTCCCTACATACCACCAGGGCTCCAGTCTAATAAGGGGGATACAGCAGGAAAGCTGCAGGTCTCATGTCTCAGATCTTCAGTAAGGAGTCTTGGGGAAAACAGTGTCACATTGTTAATCAAAATCTCACTGCTTTGAATCTGTTAGAGGGAGAGGCTGTCCTGAACGAACTCTACAAATACAGGTTTTGTGGACTCCCCCCCCTACTCCAGTCAGAAACTACAACTCCCAGAAACACAAAAGGGAGTACTGTGAGGACCCAAGGGCAGAACTAAGCAGCCATTTTGAGACTTTTGGATTATATATAAAGGAGACATGTTGAGTGGAGTCTCTCTCTCTCCCTTGGCCTCATGGCTGACAGCTGGTCACTTGGCTCTTGATCAGCTTTCAGTGTGCTATTGGGGTTTCAAGTCAGCAGAACTTACATACACATACACATGCTTAGTAGGAAGTCATGATGTATTTGTTGATTGACTAAATAAATTTTAAAAATTAATCTTGGTTATGAGGCTTAAGGAGGAGAGGCTGATACAATGTTCCTGGGTGTCTACTTCAATCAGCTCAGCCCTTCATGTCCATAGTAAGTTCATGTGGTTACTGGCACTCTTCCTAAGCATCTATCATCTCTGTTGCTTCATGCCTACAATGAAGTGAGAAATAAATAGGAAATGCAAGGCGCATTTTGACATATGGATATTTAAGCTGTTTTCTATTCTTAACATAATTGTCTCTATCATCTGGCAGCTGAGTAGGTAGCTACTATGAGGCAAAGCAGCTGGTGTTGACAATGGATGGAGCAGTGCACTGAGGCTGTAGCACCCGCTCAGTTGCTGATGGCATTTTCTCTTTTTCTTTTACACTTAGTGGTGAATCAGAAGGAAAACAGAAGTCTGATTTTTTGGCAACTAGAACCTTTAAGTTCAATAAGCAGTTATCATATGACTGATAATTATTTGTACTGAAGCATTTAAACGTTTTAAATTTTCAAGGTAGGCTTTTGTTCTATTTGCTTTGCCTCACACACTCCCTGCACACACAGAGAGGCCAAGTGTAAGAAGTTG